TAGGGATTCTCTTTTGGCGAACGCACGAGCACGACGGGTCGTCGCGCCCGCCGCCCGCTCGAGGACGACGATGGTCGGTGACCACCGGCTATTTCTGGAATGACAGGACCGGGTCGAAATAGTTTGACTCTCACCGGTAGCGACGAGCGGGAAGTTCTCTTAATGTTTACGATACATACCTGCGTGTCGCTGTCCACGGAGTGGGCGTCGCGCGATTCGAACGGCACTCGTGTCGGTGGCGCGCGGCTGACTGAGGCGGGCGCGGGCAGCAGCGAGCGTCGCCGCGGCAGCAGCGGCCCCCGCGCGCGCCCCGCGCACCCCGCCCCGCGCTGCATTCCGTGCGTGCGCCCGCCGCCTCGGCGGCCGCACCGCCGTCGGGAGAGCCGCCGGGCCGCTTCCACCGCCACGCCACCGCCGCCCGCTGCCCGCCCGCGTCACGCACTCACTCACCGTCACCTCTATGTGACCCCGCCGACCTGGACCGCAGCTTCGGCGACCACGCATTCGGCTTGCAATATTCATGAACATAACATTATCTGGTCTATGACTCTGATAAACAAATAAAAAACCTATGTTCAGGATTCTACCATGTTTACGTAAAGCAAGATTTGGTAGAACAATGTGATGCAACAAATGTCGGCGTTTCTTGTCACTAATTGCAGTGATATGACATTAAACTGTCCAAAGTCTAATAATCTGCATACGATATGTTAGTATGATTTTAATAAGTTACCGTTAAATCGTCGTTGTTGTTATAATACCAATAAACCTTCAAGTAACTGTTAAGATTTCTCAATAAGTGTTGCGATAGGTCGGTTGGTTGTTGAGTAATCACGTTAAAGCCCTTTAAGGCAGTAAAGCTTTTAGAGTTGGATAGCCGCCACGCTGCGGGTCCGCGTGGTCGTCCCGGTTTCAAGATCGATATCTCGATGCTCCCGATGGAATGGGCACAGCTCTTTGCTTTGGGAAAGATTTTGGATCAAACCATTTCCACTATACTTAATATTGAACTCTCCACCACCACTCTTATTGAATGAAATATTATAGCACCACAAAGATATAAATATTAGAAAATTTCTGAACTGCTAATCTATTATTAAATGCTGCTAAGCTATTATTTAACCAAACTTGACTGTCAATTTTCAACATGCATTCCAGTTTTTAAGTTGACTAAGTATTAAGCTAACTAAACAAAATGACAATACCACAAGAAGTTTGTATAAGTTTTAAGCTCCTCGAGATCTTAGTTACAATCATTGTGTCTTGCGTTATTCCAATATCTAAACAACATATTATTACATGATATTTTCAGTGACAAACATAATAGGAAAGGTTAAGTTACATTGGTGTGCACAGACTAAAACAACGTAATAGAGTCGACGAGGGGCCACGGGATTCGAATTCGGAACGCAAGCTGTATATCCTATACGTTACAGTTGTGCAGACATCTAAGATTTTAAAATTAAAACTTAAAATTATTTGAACGAACTTAGTGGTATTCGTTTCTTTGTTCCAAAGCTTTATCTCAAAGCGTTACGTTTTTACAATGCGTTACATTGATCTGAATAAGATAGTTTAAGATTTTAGAATTAACATGTTACTAGCTTGCGAGCGATGCGAGTACCGACCCTATTTTTAAATACTATTGGTTTTTAGCCTAGATTTTGAAATGTTATTGTGATTAAACTTATATAGTTATTGTGATTATGAAAAAAATAGTCTTTAGTGAATCCTCTGTCTGCAATTATGTCAAGTGTAATATTTTAAAACGTCTTTATGTCATATTTTGGAAGTCTGCCAAACCTACTCATGCATTGGTAGCGGGATGGTATATATTTTTGTTTATAAACCGGTGAGCGAGCCCTCTAGTCGTTTGATAAAAAATGTAAAATGGCTTACGGACCTCAACAGTGGCGACCGCGGTATCTGTATGTCTGACCCTGACCACTCTGATGAATAGCCGCTGCTCGTCGATGAAATAGGTCAAATGGAGGCACAGAAGACGGACTAACTTGATCTATTTTCGAATATAACGTAGAACCGTAGATTTATTGTAGTACTTTATAAATAAATTGATATAGTACATATACTAATGTCGTACTACCGAGAAATTTCGATCAAATATATACTTTAAACTGAATAAGATGAAAAAAAAATACAACAGCTTAGGTGACATCTTTTAAAGTCTAATAGTTATTGGCCTATCGGTTATGACTAGAGAACGTATTACATTAAGCAACAGAGGTTATAAGTACATATATACTACTTATGTCTGAATTTGGAGCATCGGTGGCTCAGTGGTCAAGCACTTGACTTGCAATCTGCAGGTCCTGGGTTTGAATCCCGCCATGTACCAATGTGTTTTTCGATTTCCGATTTACATATGTACATTTATCCGACGTTTTTACGGTGAAGGAAAACATCGTGATGCAACCTGCACATATCTGAGAAGTAATTTAAAGATATGTGTGAAGTCAACCAACCCGCACTTGGCCAGTGTGGTTATCTATGGCCTTATCATCCTTAACTTAGGGTAGGCTCCGAGCCCCTCGGTGGGGACGTTTAGTGAGCTGATGATGATGATATCTGCAGTGCTCCCGCAAAGTCGAGCGTGCCCAAGACATCCTTTTCACGAAGCGTAGAAGGGCAATTTTTGAATCAGTGCTTCGGTAGCTGGGAACTTACGCACCTAAAATGAAAAGATAAATGAACGATACAAATTAATTATTCAAACTTAAAAAAAAAACAATTGAACAGTACATTCAAGGTTTGCTTCGACAAGTTCAATGTGTATAAATATATTGAAGTATCATAATTCATTTATCCTTCTTCGTGACGAGTTACGTATAGAGGAAATAGTTGAACAAGTTTTCTAACAATTGCCAGCGAGAATTAAACACTACCTTGAAGCTGTGACACTGTTATTTTCCATAGCTAGTGTTTATTTTAAGTTACTTTGTTACTACTACGCCCAAGGGATAAGATGGAGTGATGGATGCGGTGCCTGAAGACAGCGAGTATTGATTTTTATCCAACCGTCTCTGTTATAAAGGATGGTAGAAACCAATATATGTGATAGTCGGTACGGGAAAGTATGGTAATTGTAAGTCGTAGTAATAAAAAATGTTAAGTTTCTCTAAGACATATAACAGGTACATCATATCTATTATCTTTCTCTTTTTATCCCTTTATAAAGAACAAAGACAACAATAAGTTTTTATATTTATATTTGGACACTCACTGGATTAATGTTTTCTAAACCAACTTCAAACAGATTTAAAACCGCATCCATTCCTACGAACCAAAAACTTAATCTATACTAATATTATAAAGAGCAAATATCTGATTGTTTGTTTGCATTGAATAGCCGTCGAAAATAAACCGATTTAATTTTTTTTTACTAGTAGGGAAGCTACACTATCCCCGGGTTATATAAACTGTATTTATTACAAGATTTTTTTTTATTTTTCCGCGGACAACGTCACGGGCGACGGCTACTGTTAAATATAATTTTGTAAATACGAAAGCTCAATGGTCGGGTCGGTTAGAAATCATTCACCAGTGCCCTACTTTTCGTCCAAAACGTACAACTAGATGTAAATATAACAAAATGGATGAAAACTCCGACCTCGGATAGCTGTAGTACTGTCAGTTGGAGTACTAGAGCTCAACTATCAACCAATAAACTCTGGAGATGCGTTAAAATGTAATCTCAATTTGTTATACAAATTTGAAATTATGTTGGTTCGTCCGCAGTCGGCTAGGTAGAGGCACTCTTCCTCTCATCAAATATATCCATAATAATTTATTTCCTATTAAAAATATAAAAAATGTTAAAAGTGTCTAAATGGATACTTTTGACAATATTTACTAACTTTAAGTGCATTAATACTTCACTACTGCACCTACACCTCGTCAAGTTATCCGTAACCAAACCACGTTCATTGCTTCCGTAAAACGCGATGCCCCGCCATCGTAGCCTTTCGTACAGTAAACAGGTCTAATTCCCGTTGAAGCAAGGTGTAGCAAAGAAATAATGGGTAGTGATGCAAAGTTGTAAGAATAATATAGAACAATACAGAGTAATGCTTATTTTTTAATAGGTTAAGTAGTTTAAATACATATTTACTATTGATATTTCTTAAGGCGTTTTAAAGAAAAATTAGACATTGAATCTATTGGAAGTTTATGAGCGTGACCTACACGTTTTCTAATTTACTTTTACATTATTTTTCTAATATTCTCTTAAATCATTTGTGAAACTAAAGTTTTCAAAAAAAATTCTTCTCTTTCACGATGCAATTTTCAAAATTAAAAAATGCAGCAGTTTTAGCAGCGCAGTATGTTTTTAAAAAGTTTTATGCAGGAACAACAAATTAAATAATTCAACATTTTAAGGTCACATTTAGTTTATTAAATCGTTTTTTAAAACGAACGATCGAATTTTAATATGAACATTTAAACTAAATGGCGTGGCGTTGGAGAATGGTACAATAACAATAAATAATAGGTATATAGACTATTTCAATTCTCATTGCTTCAGATATGTATATTTTATGTCCATCAGCCAGCATGCAACAATGATGTTATCTCAAGAAATTCCTCGAAGAGCGGTCTACGCCTGCTTACAAAACACTATTTTATAACTTTATTAATTTAAAACTACCCTTTGATTTACAATTAAACTTGCCAAAATACTAAAAATGCATTAATATTAATAAAAAAGAACATAAATATGTAATGTACTTATTAATATTAAAAACATTTCTAAATAAATGAAATCATTTTTTTTGGAAATGGTCGAAACTCCAAACTTAATACGACGGTTAATATTTGACATGCGGTAGTGAGTGATTAAACGCTTGTTTTGTTGTCTTGGTATTATTTGAACACCTCTAATACTGATTAAAATTTAATTCTTTCTGATTTTTTAAAATAGGCTGTTTACATTAATGTTTTAAATTAAAAATCCTTATAAATATTTTTAAAATAAAAAGTACTCGTACTTTGACACATTCCAAACTCCAGTCTTCTTTCCTCCCGCGCCCTCCTAGAACAAATTTTAAACTACTGTGACGATTGATAAACAAAAAAAAATAGTGAAAGGATTGACAATATCTACAATGGATATTGTTGTAACTACATTTACAAATCCTTTTTCATTTTTTTGTTATGTTAAAGGTACTATTAGTGAAAACGTTTATCTCGATGATTTCACGACGCACGACAAACTTTCTTACGATGTTTCTAAAGTTAATCACGGACAGGTAAGAAAAAAAAACTAATTCTCTATGCTAACACACCTTTTTATACATTTTAACCATAATCTTTCACAGTATGTAACAGTTATGTGGAAAAATAAATGGAATCGAGGCATAATTTCCATGGAAAATCAGCTTTTGATTTGGTTAATTGATCATGGTAGATTTTTGCGACCTGACAAGGATACGATTTACGTAGACCTACCTCAGCGTTATAAAACGTACCCAAGTAAAGTTTTCGAAGCTAGTGTTCATGGTGTTATTCCAGTTGATAAAGTAAGTTAAACAAAAACAAAATTTGTATTGATAATTTAGTCTATCCAGAAAAAAAAAACTAGTATCTGTAGTTTATCTTACTAAAACTTTTTGGTGGACATAAATAAACCACAAGAAACATTTTGAGAGTTTCACAAATATTTACTTATAGTAATTAGAACAAATGCTGTATTTGTTTGGACAATTATTATATAACTAGTCTATTTTGTTTTATTTGAATAATGTTATGAAAAGATTTACTAGTAGCATTTAAAATTATTCAAAGTTATAATTCAATTTATCTTATTGAAATGTATGGTATGCAGGTTATCAGTCAAGAGTGTCAGATAACAAATGGTGTTACCACTGAATGGAACAAGGGAGCCATTGAAAAAGCTCAAGAATTGATAAAAAATGCTAGGAATACTTATTTTGTACCTCTTGCTTTGATGACAACAAAATACAATGATGTGGTTTGTACATTTGATTTAGATTAATTAAAAAAAAATAATGACTAAAAAAATATTTATAAGAAAAAGTTTTCATTTTATCTGTTATTAACTTTATAATGTGATCCTTAAAACTAGTAAATTTATATTGATTAAGACAAATCTAAAACATGTTCTTTGATTCAACATTTTTTTCAAAAAAAATTCAATGTTTTTGTTTTTTTTCATAAGCTTTTTGACAAAGGTATTTAGTGGTTGCGTATGTTTCATGGTGTATATTAAAGGTTTTCTTGTTTGAAAAAGGAGAGGATTGTTTACTCCGGTTGATATGTCCTTTCTTAAATGCTTCCTTTCATGATTATCTTAATAAAACAACATATTTATTCAGTTCAAAATGCTTACTTATTTTTTATAGAAATTACACCTTCAGAATGTTTTGAATACATATTTTTTGCAGGTACTTGGAGATTTATATCTAGAAATGCCCGGCAATCGCCTGATAAATTTCATACAGGAATTAGAATTATGGCCTGTGTTTTTAGAATGCAATAAAAGTGCATACATAAAAAGTAAGTAACTTATTTTAAATGTTAAATTTTTATTTACAGTGGAATAGTTTATAAAGTTGAAATGTTAATTACGTTAAAAAAGATGAAATTATTTTATTCATGTTTTTTTACAGATCTACGAAACTTTTATACAAGTCGACGTAAACACCGTTCTTGTTTCATGAAACCAAACATGATAGATTCAAATTTATCTGTTATGACTTTAGAAACAAACTTACTTCAGTACAGCGCCATCTGTGTTGAAAAACCAGAATTCTCTTTGACACAAAATTCCGAAGGGAGTTCAATAGATGGCAGCACTGTCCTTGATATTGATCAAAAAGAGGAGAAAAATATTTACAAACTAACGCATGATGAAATTGAAAAATATGCCGATATGAATATAACACTAAACGGTCGAGAATATAATGCTTTGAACATCTTGCTAAACAAAATTCGAGATTTGAATATTTGCGAACGTTACAAAGACCACGATTTAAAAACAGTTGGATGTGGAATAATATCACGGAGATGTTTGCATTAGTATTTCAAATTTACGAATAGGAAATTGTAGATCATCTTTATAATGGTCGCAATACTTAAATTGCCATGTTTAAGTTTCTTAAAATTAATGGTAAAAAGATTAAAAATGTCTGTCATCTGGAATGGCAGGTGATGGTTGATTTTATATTGAATTTACCTTTCTTATACAATTTTGTTTGGTTTCAACTTTATTCGTTAATTTTGCTTCCAAGCAAATATTCGTCAAAATTCATAACAGAGTATAACAAACGATATGTTTTCTTTTGAATAAAACTATGTATTTTTTTCTAAAATTTTATTTTATATACAAATAGAAATTCTTCCCTTATGTAAATACACTTAGTTAAACTTACGTAAGTCTTAAATTAATAATATTCTGTACATAATGTACGACAGTATTCAGGCAGTGAGACTGGAAGAGATCGAAATCCAATTTATGGCAAGTTCCAATGTATGACAGAGCATAAAATCCACAAATAGTGTAGAAAATTCCAAATCATTGGCATTTTGTAGAAACATGATAATTTTTAAAGCGGGAGTAAATGAACACTTTTTTGTAAGCAAACAATGAATTAGAATATCGAGAAAAAATTCAGAAAGAAAGCTGCAAGACAATGCATTTCTTGTAGTCAATATAATCGCTATTATTTGTTTGAAATTTGGAATTGCCTAATACGTGATTAAATTAATACGTTGGGTATAAATCACAGACGTAAGCCGGGGTTGGTGCTGGCGACGTAATTAAGAAGTTCCTCAGAGTCCTCACAGACGACAGGTTTCTCGTGGTAGCAGGCGACGTCATGCCACGCGATGCCGTCGTTGTAGACATTGTTCAGGATGCTCAAGCACGACTCCGTTGTACCGTTGATATCAAACTCCGCGTTATCAGGCTGACGCTGCTTCTTGTGACCGGTTTGAGACCAAGGGTTGTAACCCCAGCCGTTGGGAATCTGGAAAATTAACAAATTGATATAGAAATTCCTTAATTAAAAAATTGTGTTACACAGTTTATAGGAATAGATAGATGGCGCTGCCATTGGCTTGCGAACAGCAATTGAAACCATTTAAAAGTTACCAAATTTCATTTAATTTATATGTATAAGTATGAGTTAATTTTTACATATTTAACTTGATTATTAATTATTGCATTTTTTGAGGAATTTAATAGAATTAATATTTGTGAACAGACCTGGTTGGTGGGCGACATCTTTTCCCTGTTCGCGGACCAGAACCATCCGAAGATGTTCTTGGGTTCAAGGTCTTTGCGGGACTCGCAACCCTTGAAGTCACAGAGACGACCAGATGTCCAGATATAAGGTATGTCATCTGTAAACGTATCAAATTAGTTTAAGAGTAACACAAAAGTATAGTTCAATTCAACACTTTCTACTACTTATGACTTTCTAACATGTGTACTTAAAACATATGCTATCTCTATAGTCTCAACGAATTAGACAGAGATGCTAACATGTCTTTATCACGTGTTTTCACAGTGGAAACTAATAATAAAATTATTTTGCACGAGTCACTACTTTGTGCGTTATTTCAATGGCGTTTTCGCTTTTGAATCCAATCGATAACAAACAGAAGCCAGGAATAACATAAGATCATCAAAAAGTATACAATAGGCTTATGTAATATACAATAGGCACTTCAACATGAAGAAAGCAAAGTGAAAGTACATAAACATTCTACTGTTAGTGACGTGCTTACTTTTTTCTTGTATATTTAGGACTTTTAATGTTTAAATTTATTTTATGAGACATCCTTAGTGTGGATTTAGTGTAAAATTAAAGTTGATTAATTTACTTGTCTGTATGAGTTTGAAGATGAGATTGTTTTCCTCCTGCGTCTCCATGGAGACGAGGTCCATGCAGTACTCGCGGCAGATGTTGCGTCCGTCCAGCCAGTCGAACTTCTTGTTGGCCAACGCTGGCACGTGTCCAGTAAAGAAGTAGTTATGGCCTCGGTAGAAAAATTCCTTTGGTCCTATAAACAGTAAAAAATAAAGAAATTAAAATAATTATAATAATAACTACATCATCATCACAATCATCAACTTGCCCTTATCCCTATTGAGGGTCGGCACAGTATGTACTACTCCTCCATACATCTCTATCAGCCGTCATATCCTAGTCTACCCCCTTACTACGCATATCCTCTTTCACAGAGTAATTATAGTAACTATATATTATTACTTATTAAGTAACTTTTCCTTCGTATACTATTAGAAGCAACTTGAAACAATTAAAGAGATGTATTTTTTGAGTATTAAAAGTCACGTTACAATTGATCCCGCTAGGTTAAAACGTGATTCTCTTTTGAATTAACAACGTTGAATTGAAATGCACTCGTAATACTGCATCAAAATTCGACGCTCGCAAACGACAAATCAAAGGACACAAGGCTACGTAATATGACCTCAAATAACAGACGGCACGAATAACAGGGTAATAATTTACACGAGCACATAGCGTTAATAGACGTCGACCCTGCGCATCGGGTCGTGTACCCAACACAATCATGGTCATGACATTGAAGCTTCCCTAAACAATTCTTGCTAATTACACTAGATGTCGCAACAATCGAAAACACTTTTACATAACAGAATAACCTTTATGTTATATAACATTGGACAAAAGTTACGTTACGCAGGTGAATATGACACGCCTGTTTATCGATGTCGTCTTCGTTGTCGGGTTTTTTTGTAACATACTTTTGAGGTGTAACATTAAATTCAAATCTATCCTATATTACTTGCCATTAAGAAGAAATTAAAAACCGTATGAATAAATAAACACTATAATTTCAATATGGTTTTATATATGTTAGTACAAGTAAGGATTCTACATAGTTTTTTTTATTTTTCTCGGAAGTTGGTTTCTTATTAGGATAAAAAGTGCATACCATATACATACTACTGATGTTTTCCGGTTTGTTTGTGCGTTAATTTATATAATATATATTTATATTTAACAAAAAGGAGTTTACATCCAAGTTCTTTTCCTATAAACCATTACATTTTGTCTTGTACTTGTCCTTGATAAAATATAATTGGCAGAATTATTTACCGGGATTTTTTCTTAATTAGTACCTTATTGATTTACTGTATAAATAATTTGTGTGCAATTGACAGTTCAGTAAAAAACACACTGATTTATTGTTGACTTTTTATTTACATTTTATAAAGAAAATCAAAAACAATCCTAAAAAAAACCTATTGTTTTTAACAATAGGTAATCGTGAATGTAACATTAGTAAGTTGTCTACAAGCAATTACAGGTCATTGCATTAGTGGGTAGACGTGATTGGACTCGAGTTTGTTTGGATTCGCATTCGCACGGCGGACAATTATTTCGAATGGGGACCTTGTGCGGTGACAGACAGACGGATGTGCGATTGTTTACCGTCGACTGTACACGAAACTATGAGAACAATACTGGCGAATCTTACGTATATTGAATACCTCATTATAACAAAATACCTTATGCTATCAGATTAGTATTCAGCGGATGTGAATACTGTGATAAGGTCTCAAGTAATTATGCAAATTCGCCCATCGAAATTTTAATATCTGATACATAGCCTCTCAGTACAACTAAGGTCAAGGATTACCTCGGATACGTAGGAAGCCTAAAAACTTTGCAGTAAAACAAACTTATGTCCTTATTAGCACCTACCGTGGCCTAAGACGCTTAGAGTCTTTAAATTTCAAGTTAAAGATACTTTTTTGAGTTCCAAATGAGATGAAAAACATTAAACCTATTCTTACGTTTCTTGTAAATTAACGGACTAAGTACTAATGAATATTATTCTAAACTCTGAGTTGCAAAACTATTGCGAACTAAACAATCATAAAGTAATTTATATCGTAACTACCTAAAAGGTATTTAAGAACTTTAAAGTTTAAAGTTGGAGGTAAAATATCATCTATTGATTTGAACTAATATTGAAAGGCAATTTGATGAAGGTTTCGTTCGTTGCTTTGAAATATTCTTATAAATTTCACAAACATTAACATGATTTTTACTATCATATATCGCATCGTTTAAATAAAATAACTTAAATATTATATATTTATGTTACCGTGAAACTCAAATACCGAAAAACTTTATTATTATTACACGTATTTGGTCATTTTTAGGGTTCCGTACCTCATAGGGGAAAAAAACGGAACCCTAAGAGGATCACTTTGTTGTCCGTCCATCTGTCTGTCAAGACTCTTTTATTAAGTATAATGTTTTGGCTAATTAAGCTAGCTTTTTGCATCCGTATAACGTTTGATTTTTTCGTAAATTCGTAAACAAAAAGAATTATTTACAGTAGAGACATCAATGCTTCGCCTCTTGCCGTTGGCGGTATCGTATAGTGTCGAAACTTTTATTGGTTAACAAACTATTGATATAAAATAACCTTTATTTACTGACGAAATAATTAACCGCATCGGCATACAATATCTTACGTTTTATTTTATATATGTTATAAAATGACTTGTATATGTAAACAATTCAATCGCTTCTCTTCTTTTTGGATTAAGTAACCTACTTATATATCGAAATATTCAAAATATTAAACGTTCCAAGTTTATTCCTGGAGCATTCAAAAATGATAGCACTATGGGACGTTTTTTATAGGGCAAAAGGCCGAACGGACTTAAACGTGTAGGCTACGGATAAAGTGGCCGAATAGAAAACACCCCCCCTAACTTAAAAAAAAAACTCTGAATGCAGTCCTTTTATTCCAATCACTATTTGAATAAGACAACAGCTTGGAAGTGATTTGGAAGTAAAGTGAGCCGATATGACCAAGTTTTGGTATTAAGGTTCGTGATCGACTCAGCGGGCGTCCCTGGGACCTAACTGATTACGTTAGCCCATCATTATTGGCTGCCATTAAACCGAGAGAACGCGAAGCCATAAAGATGTATATAACTTGTCAATGTTGCGAAGTTGTCGAAAGGTTCACAAAACTATAGACTGTTCACAAATGTTTATTTTAATTTTATAGTTACATTATGTGAATTATTTTGTAACGTGTGTTATGGAAGACTTTATTTATGTTGATTTTTATTGATGTAAGATGTATGTGGTTGGTTAAGAATTAGACAACTACAGGAGTGATATGCCGTTAAACTTGATAAAATAACTAATGCCCACTAAAGCATGCTATGTAGGAAGAAATCTGTTTTGTTTTTTATATAGATAACTTTATAAAAGTGACCATAACGTCACTGTTCCGGCCGGAAGTAAGTTACAGTGACCGCTATTAGTTTCTTTTTTATATTATTACTAAAATAGGATATAAATATACTAATTAAACCTATTGTATAGTATATAATATATCACGACCTCCGTATGTGAATACAATTCTATATACAAACTTAGTACATATATGCATAAATGAATATAAAGTTTAAATTATTTCATTATAAGTTTCAAAAGTATATAAAACTATTGTTTCTTAACCTTAACAAGTGAAAGGATTAAAATTGAGAATTATATTTCTAGTTTTTTTTTTCGCATTTCAAAATTTCAACTGTTGTATTATTACGAAGATATTTATTAACGCCTAATGCAATTTACATAGACGATGTTTTTTTGGATTTGGATTGTGAGGTTTTTTTCGATGTTTTTATTTATTATCCTAATAATGTTAGGTAAATCATTGAGGTATACTAAAACAATATCATCATCATCATTAGCTCACTATGCGTCCCCACCGAGGGGCTCGGAGCCTACCCTAAGTTACGGGTTACCATATTCAACCACGCTGGCCAAGTGCGGGTTGGTTGACTTCACACATATCTTTGAATTTCTTCTCAGATGTGTGCAGGTTGCATCACGATGTTTTACTTCATCGTATGAACGTCGGATAAATGTACATATGTAAATCGGAAATCTAAAAACACATTGGTACATGGCGGAATTCGAACCCAGGACCTGCATCTGATCGCAAGTCAAGTGCTTGACCCCTTGAGCCACCGATGCTCTAAAACAATACATTGAACTGATCTTTTTACAGTATACAAAAACACAATTAACTTAGTCTGGGTTTTATGTTTTAATATTAAATAATAAGTTATATGTTAGGAGTGTTTCATTATTGCTTTTATGAGGACAAGGTGTCTTGTCATAGACAAAAAGTCGACACGACAGGTTTTGTGTTTATTTGAATGTTTGTATGTTATCTTTGTGTTTTGTAATCATTACATATTACGTTGACATTTATGGTATACGGTTTAGTTGCACGTGGCCTAACTTAAGGTGGGTTTCCACGGAGCGTTTCTGCGGATCGACGGACGTTCAGTCGCACGACGCATCGTGGAAATAGTAACGTCTGTCTGATCACTCCGTAACTTCATGTTTATAAGGCTTTTTTTTAGTAAATACTTGCAAGAAAAGAAGCGCTAATCGACATAATCATAGAGAGCTAGACTTTAAGTGTGAAACTTAATCTATTATGGATCAATCGCGGCAGTCTATTTTCGTTTAGTTTTTTTTTGCCGCACTGTACGTGCCTAATTTGATGCTCGGTGCGTAGCTTTCCGTGATTGTCGGCTACATACGTCCATTAAATAATCACTCACAGTGGAAATCCACCTTTACCATGTTAAGGACCGGTTGGTGTTTGTGACCCATAAACATGTATTACATGTTTCATTCAATTTCTCCGACCCCAATAATTATTGTGCAACCGAGTTCATCGTTGCGACTTTTACCTCTATAAAGTCAAGTTACCAGCCCAGTGCCATTGAACCTGATATTATGAAAAAGATCACATAATAAATATTCATTCGTTCTGTTATCGCTAACTGAGTAATGAATGGTTATTTAAAATTATAATTTAATCATTTTACTTTAATGATTTTATTATTTTGAAACTACTTAAATCATTTCGTAATAGTTTGCATTCATTAACAGTTCAAAAAAGATTCATTTAATGCTTGACAATCTAAAGTTTTGTTAGTATAAAAATACTCAGAATAGAATCTCTATGATAAGATTTTTTAAACTAATAAAAGTCTCAAGTCTTTAAAGTTCTTAACGAAGAAAACAATAAGTTTAGTCGTTACATGCCGCAGGATACAAAATACAAAAATATTTGTCGTAAAATATTATTCAATAACTTACATAATATTAAACCGTTACTTTTTCCTACGAGGAATTTAACACTAATCTAATTCCATAGGCAATTTATTTGCTAACATTGTTTTTATTACATAATTTTCGATTAAGATTGACCTACATACATTTATATGGATTAATATGAATATTTCGATGTAACATTATATGTGGAAGTTTATGTAAGACACGGAAAAGCTATTCCGTTGAAAGCTGCAACAGGATAGAGTGAGAAAGTTTGCGGAAAAGAGACGGATACGTCCTCGAGCGCGGCCGTGACCTTGTACAATGAACTGCAAGCTTTTACTTTCTATGAATAAAGCGAACTAAACAATGAAACTTAAATGTCGACGTCACTGCGACTTTGTTTTAATGTTTAAAATAGGTTTTCACTGCACAAACTATATAAAAACTGTTTCTTTGGTATTTTTTTTTCAAATAGGGATGATAATATACTGATTAACTATTGTATCTGCAGTGGGGACTCACGGTTAAATTCTATTTTATTGTGTTTATTGTTCGAACGATCGTGTTGACATTTCACGGATTCAGCTGTTGCTTTCAGGATCGGTTGACAAAATAATTACTTTAAAGTTTAGAACTAAGTATTGCTTGTTTAATTGTGAAATTACACATTTATAAAATTCCATAAATCTTAGTACCTCTCTTATCAACCAATTCAAGAATCAGTTTACCCTTTAAGTAATAACGAAACTTTAACCACACTTAACATAAAACTATTCTTAGACCTTCGTCTTTTCTTAATCACAAGCTTAAGAAAGATAATAAATAGATAGGAGGCAGCATCCGCGATTCGGGGCCGATTTTAAGATCGTAAAGTTCTCGAAACACAGGAGATTGCTACACAACGTCCGTCTATTGCGAGGTTTCGTCGACAAAGTCAGTTCAAGGTCAACCGCTAATGGGCATAAGGTTAATAAGATCAGCGAAGATGGATCTCTCGTTGTTTTTACTTTTTTCATATCATTATTAAAATACGTGATCCGTGTTTACTTTTAAATTTTATTTAAAATTGTACTCGTGTGTGCGTTAGGTACGTGAAACTGAACGTATGAGTTTAAAGCTATAATCGACCGACGCGGTATCGTCACCAGATAAATATTTATTTCGGCTAAGTAATAAGAATAAAGTATTTTATTTCCTGTGATTCTTAGTTTTTTCCGTATTTGCCCTCAATGCAAAATTTAATTTTACATTAGCTGATAATGAGCATTAATTATATACTTTGTATCACAATCAACATTAGGTGGTCCTCATTATTTTGCTAAATTGTTATAACTCACTGTTAGCGCATTTCTGCGGCTGCGGCAGGGAGAGGAAACGGCCCGGCTTCTGCGCACCGGCAAGCGCTGCCAGCGCGGCCGCGCACACCACCAACGCCCACGTCTGCATCTGCAAACAATTACAACAATATTAATTTTAATTTGACTATTAACACCACATTATTCGCCTCGTTGATCTATTTTGCATTATCTAAGGTTATAAGTATTACCATCAAAATCTAATTAAAAACTTAATCGCTTTAAAGACACAAATAGTTTATTTTTAATATACTTTCTTTTACAAGGCAATTAAAGTAATCGACGAATAGATCTTATACTTTTTGTAAAAGTATGTTCAACTTTTTTTTACTTGTTTAATTAAGTATTCGTTGTCTGCAAGATATTTATTTACATGACATTTCTTGATATTTTAATAGCAAAATGAATATTTGAATTTGATATTTCAAGAGCTTCTACGTATTTCACTTAACATTGTCGCTTTCGAATTTCAAGTGTCGCCGAACTCTTGTTTGCGCTCTCACCTTTCTAGAAGGTCGATGCAATTTCATGTTACGATAAATTTTTCAATTCAGAATATTCAAAACAAATAGCAAGAAAATTGCGCAATTTTGATTGAAGAACCAATGTCACCGTAGTCCATACATTAGTCGTTATTACGTTAAATGTGTTTTTATTAACATTATTTAAACATTTCGAAACTTTCAAGATCAAATAGAAATATTAGATTGGAAAGAAACAAAGAAATGACACAACAAAGGTATGCATTAAATATAATATGTAGTAAAGTTATGAAATTCACTATCTGTTGATTGTTTTATTTATATTAATCGAATTTATTATCACTATAAATAAGACCAACCGAATGATGCATTATTGTTATGCATGCATTCGTACATGCAGAATATGCATGTACGAATGTGTCACTTGTCGTGTTTCGAAGACGAACACGACCCAATTTACACAAAACCGTAAAAGCAGAATCATGTCATAAGTCAGGCGCTACATAAGTTAAGAAACTTTTACATTTCACATTTATTTACTCTGCATATCCACTTCAATCGTTGTTTGTAGGAGGGTTGAATGTTTTAAGGCAGTTATGTTTATAATTATGAATACCATCGCTGTGGCAGTCAACGAGTTTGCGTTCTTCCAAAGAGGTGGCATACTGGCCACTAAGACCTTTGTCCTTTTCGATTAAGAATAAAATAAATATGGAAATGAGAATCACGCGGATAGTTAAAGTTTGATGAAATTTTTGATGTAAATATTATATATAATATAATAATTATTTCAGGAACGAAATAACGCATTTCGGCTTCACTGCTGTTATATTCAAAATATATAAAATAGAGTTGAGCATTCGCGAGTTAAAGATCAAATTAGTAGCAATAGGTTCATTTAAACCACTAAGATTTTGAAAGGCTTCTACGAGGAAAATATGTTTAGATTCATCTGTTTTAAGGTTTCCACTTAAAAATCTACTTACGACTTATAACTATAGATTACGTCAACGTAATGTTAATTAAAGATAAATAAAAAATTGAAGGTCAAGCTTATTTTAGTTAAAAAAAAAATGACGATGATCATGAAATCGTCTTAAATACTCTATTATTTGCTTACCGATTACCTCGATGATATAACATTTATAAAATTAACGAACAGCCAAGTTAACTAAAAAGTCTTCACATAAACAAACATAAGTTCGAAATTATATTAGCAAAAAGAGTAGAATAACTAAGTAGTTATTCTACTCTATTCGGTCAGCAAACACACTTGTGTTGTGCGATTTTTGAAGTTGATCGTGTACGTAAGCCCTTAAGCCTAAGTTAAAAAAACAACATCTTATTTAAGTTGTTAAGTGCTGTTTTAATCGATGACATAAAGTAACGAGTAATCATCACATTATGACGTATGTGCTCCTAGTATAATGCTCAGTTAATTACTTAAACGTGTATACTGACAGTATTAAAAGCTCATAGTACATGTATGTATAAAGACACGGAAACGCAGTCGTCAAGCGGATAATGGTGGGAGTTAGAGTATGGTGTCGACCTTGACATGTTAATATCATCATAACGTGGGAGTTTAATGTATATCTTTTTGTGCCAATCTTTGAACATGGTATAGAAATAAGGTTAGTTTCTTACAGTGGGTTTCCACGGGCGAAAAAGATATCAGCCTTTTTATTATTGATTTTGAAAAAAAAAACAGATGACTTTATCTTTTGTGTAGACGTTTCGACAGTAGATACATGGGTCATTGAAATTTGTACCATATTTAAGTAACGGACCGTAGGGGATGAAAGCTCTTTGTTATTTATGTAAAAGCCCTATCACGCAGGTTAAATCGGATATGAATGTAAGAATATGAACAGATCATCTATACATCAGTCTTGGAATCTGCATTGAATATTAGTTACATGTTATTAATAAAATATATCATCACGTTTGATATCTGTACTAGCCTATTAAATTTGCATTTAATTTTAGAGCATGGTCGTTGTTAGACGTGTAATTAGGAAGGCATCAGTATGTAGGCATGTTCGTGGTAATGCGATGCTGTTGAGCCATCTCAGACCTAAATAAATGCTATTCCTCTAATCGATCTGGGTGCGATCAAGGTTTTAGGCATCGCAAATACCTTCACGTTACAGATCATCAATATTTATCTGAACTATGTCGACGATTTAATAGTCCTCCATTAACATATTTATTAAAATTTAACCTAGTTTCCAATGAACATGTAGCCTTTAAGTTAGTAAGCTTTAAAATTTAATATCTTACCTTTTACAATTTTTCACGCAAGTTATTGTTTTGTAAATGTCTATATAAAATTATATTTTCGGTCGTAAAATGGTGGTTAGTACGTGGTATATTTAATTTGTAATAATTATATTTAAATATGTTTTAGTAATTATAAATAATGTTGACAAGCGGCGCCATCGTGTCAATTCTCAGTATGTCATGGTCACTGTTCCATATTGCTAATTGCAACACTATATAACATACACAAATATATTTGTCGACAAAAATAAGAGATTTACATATTTATACGTCCGAAATGAAATTATAGGATATTATATATTTTAAAGTTGGATATAATTGGAAAAGTGAGGAAACAGAAACCTTTAGTAACGGCTACAGTTATCAATTAAACAATAAAGCGATAAAATAGCAAATAAAATATAATTGTAACACAATAGAATCGTAATTGTAATGTATATAACATTAACATAGCCAACGTATTCTAAAAAAATCATTTCACATATCGTGTTTTCGTAGACAACCAAATAAACACATAATGATCATCTACAACCGTATTTGTAAAGTGCATTCCTCACTTGGACAGCTGAATGGAGGCTAGATGTATGTCTCAATAGCGAATTTAGTGCGAGGCTTAGTGCATTGTGTTTCCACGGGGGTGTTGCAACGAGCCGAGGCCGGCCGTCAGCTTTACTCACGATTTAAATTCGTGCCGTTTCTGTGCAAACTTTGCCGCCGTCTGACATCCCGAACACTTCGAACGCTCTAATAACATCAATTTTACAATATATTTCGCAATTAGTCCACTAGGTAATTGTGCTAGTGAACTGCGTGTGAGAATGAATTATATATTTTTAACGTAAATAACCTAAGAGATCAGTAGCAGTGACTTTAAATATTAGAATGTTAAATAGGGAGTGACAACTGAAATGACGGTAGATAGACCGATACGGTGGACGAAACCTGGTGCGCCCACCTTACTTGAGTGGGATAAGATAAGGGAGATGATGGTAATAAGAAAATCCGCATATCCGCATACGAGATGTATTCTTGATAGTGACGTCATACGTGTCATTGTTATTCAATGACATCGCGGCGGTGTGTGTAAAAGCTGAGTGACTTCTTGTTATTCCTCTCGGTAACGCGGATGTTGACTACCTAACATAACCGTTGGCTTCCACTGTCGAAAAACATGTACAAAAACATTTAGTCATAAACATCTATTAAAATCTTCTGTACCTGCGCAAGTTGCTATGTAGCTAAAAGCTTCAATGATATATCGCTAAATATAATTTTATTTTAGTTTCATTCTAAAATATGACCACAAGATTACTATTAGAGTACTATACGACTGACAAGAGAGTTAAGTTTTTGTTAGTCCAAACGATTGACATTTTCATAACAATGTTAGGCGAAATATATAACGTCATTTTATATCGACAATCAATATGTACGATAGTTAAATGTAAACAATAAACATATCAATTATCAAAACATGTTCTTGGAACTATCGTAGTTTGAGGCACTCAAGTTCAAAGCCTATTCAATATTACCAGTTTATTTACATTATTTGGTTGTACAACCTACAATGTGCTGTAGACCAAACTATCAAGGCAGTTTTAAACGTTATTCTATTCTCTTTAGGTTTAGTGTTGATATTGCTGTCATTATTAACGTCTTAAAAAAAGCTTTTAAGTATTTCTTACTTTTATTTTACTATACAGATAAGTATTTTGGCAATTCCAAAATTTGAATTTCGAATTCGAAATATGATTTCAAACTAATATTTTTACTACTAGCTAATATATTATACTTACTCTAACTTTACTATTATTATCGCTATAAAAATTCCATACTACAATTTTCTATTTAGATCCTTTTTACTTTAAATCTACACACATTAAAGTATTTTTAAATGCAAAAATATACAAAATACACAGTAGTTACTAAAGGTGTCGGTATTTAAGGCTCTATAAGCTCTTACGATATAAAGATTGATAGCGACCTCTTGCAAAACTAAGTTCACTTAGCGCAAATATATAATACATAACTATAATGCGACAAAAATAACTAATAACCGCATATAACTTATATGAAATACAACGCATATTCTGTATTGTACAAAAAACATGATAATATCTTTATTTGAATGACAAATGTAAGGCAATATAAAAGACATCAACGCGTGAAGTGAATTTAAATCAAAATATTAATTGTTATATTTTTATTTCATTGTAACATGATAAGGGTGAGTATCATTTTTTCTAAACTATCCATTTAACTTTTTAAAAAGATAAAAATTTAGAAAATAAAACACCCAAAAATATATACACTAAAAATAATATTCGTAAGCTAGACATATGCATGTTAAGTAACATTTAACATACATAAATAAGATTAACAACAGTAGTTACCGCAACTGATTTAATGAGAACAAAGAGCGAAAGTAAATGTAACGTAACAAGCATGTGTTTCGGAATATTTATATACATACATCATATATTTATTTCACTACAACGGCCTTAAGATGTCAAGTGTTACAAACTGATATTTAAGTATTTATTTCTTTTATAACCTGATATAATAAATGGAGTAATTATGTTTAAATATTTACAACTACCGTCAAGATCGGTTATGGGACATAATTTAAAGTAAATATAAAAGACTTTATACCTTGTTATTTTAATGTCATATCCTAGTTTAATTTGTAAATACAGGGGTCTAGGCTCCGAATATGATTTTGTTCCATTCGGCGTCGAGACCGTCGGTCCGTGGGGTCCTAGCGCTTTAAGACTTTATAAGGACATGTCCAAAAAAAATATCGACATCGCAGGGGATCGAAGAGCTGGCAGCTACCTCGGACAAAGAATTAGTTTAGCTATCCAAAGGGGGAACGCTGCCAGCATCTTCGGGATCTTGCCTAAAGGGACTCCTTTTAATAATATTTTTTAGTAAATTATTCGTTTTTAATATTTTATTTAGATTCTTTGTTAGTTTCTTTAATTATATCGTGTTTATTTGTAAACTCTTTGTATGTCCATTGTAAGTTCTGTTTCTAATAAAAATATGTAAACTACAAAGAAAAAATAATCACCAGAACTTAAAGAATTTTAGTGATTATTATTTTAAACAAGACTTATTTTCTTTCTAAACTTAATAATTTTTCCACTATTCGTTCAAACAAAAACAACACTACGTTGTCACGAGTATGTACTATATACACTAAAAACTAGTTTTTGTATCCATCCGGCAATTATTAGATAAAAACACAATTATTATCACATATTCTAGCGATTCTGTTCTTTGGGCTACTGAGAATCCGCAATAGCCTTGAACTGTTGCGCAAACCTGCCATTTGTCCATGCGGCTAATTCGGACGCGGCAAATTGCTGTCAATTTGACTACAGATGCGCTATTTCGTTTTGTTGTATTTTAAACATCTTACAATAGATATAGCAAAGACGTAAAATATCGTTTTGCCAGAAGACAAATATTCTTAATATCTTTTTTGTGTTTATAGTATGAATTTTCAGTATAAAAAATATAGAGAGCAAACTATCCTAGTTTTTATTTTCATCATCTGTTATCTGTTATCATCTTTGTCACCTCTGTCATTATCTTTGACAAAACAGATATAACAATATGCTTTAAACGGAGATTTTGGTCTCAAAAACCCACAGTAAGTGACGTAACCGAGTGGGAATGCTTTCAATGAATCGTGAGACAATATTTATAATCGTGTAATCTATAGATTACAGTGTTTTCAACAACAATAAGATTTTAAAAGGAAAACATATACACTACTATATTTTTGATATAGGTATATTACTAAATAGCTAATAAATTTTGTTAAAAGTGTACCATAACTAAAATTTCAGTCTTACGATTGCTACGTAACTTTAAAAAATTACAAAAATGTTAAACTTAAAAATAATAATTTAACAAACTATACGAAAATTATATAACTATATTAATAAGTTACATCTAAACATTATTCTTGCATTCGTAAATATTTCTTAACCGATGTTATAACTATAAAACTACAACATAAAACATTTTAATATCTCGTTATCTAATAAATTGCTTTGAATCATATTCAACTTCCGAAAACGAAACTTTTATCCAGGAGATGTACACTACATTAAAATATATTTATAAACGCGAAAGTTTAGATGTTTGTTACGTGTTAAAATTGGGAAAAGTCGTAAATTGTAGTCAGGATTGACGCAAATATTTTTCACCGAGTTTTTTCCCGATGAAGCTTTAACTTAGCTTTAACCGATGACATCGGACGACAGCTATTGTTTTGAATCAATTTTAGAAACTTCCGTTTACTTAACGTTTTTTCTCCAATTCGTATTCAATTTGTTGCGTGTGTCGGTCACCGCTTGGGATCCGTTGACACAGATCCATAATACAACGATGCGTCGCGGCATGTCGCAACCGACAGTCGGACGCCGACAGCCTTTGTAACGCGTATAACAAACTATGAACATATTTTCTACAATACTACAATACCATTTAATATAAGATGAAGAGGCTTTTTGACCGCCGTCATTTAACCGTAAAATTCATTCCCGATATTTGTTTTTTAATTGATGCTTTATTGGGTGTCTTGACAGTGTAAGCCCACAGTAAATTACTGAAAAGTCAAACAACTTAAAAAGTACAAAAAATGTAAGATAATTGAATCACGTCTATCACTTTTCGTAATTCCTTTGTAATGATAAAATACCCTCTAAAAGAAAAATTTATCTTTAACAGTTTATTATACTTAAGTAAAAGTTGCAGTAAGTTATAAAGTTCAGTTAAAAGTTTAAAGGTTAGTTTAAAACTTAAAAAACCGCGATAAAGAGCACGAGGTAAATTATAAAAACTAATTTCATAATTTAAAACAGATCTTAACGGATAAGTAACGTTTTATTGTGCAAAAGTTTTACAGATTCGCATCTCAAGCGTGCCTTTAATGCTGTGAGTAACAATTACTCATTAAATAGAATTCTATCTCACATTTTAAAGAAAGGGCTAAATAAAATCGTATAAATTATTATAGTTCTCATGATAATTTTATCTTATCTCAGAAGTCGACAATTAAAGATAATTTATTATTAGGGTCTATTTAGAAACAATAGTTACCTCACTGCCTTTTTATTCTTTTATAAGAATACATAACAGCAGAAATTCGTTGTAGGGTCTGTCGGTTTCTTAGCTAAAGGTCGTTAAGATCGCAATACCAACAAGAAAGCCGCAAAATTACGCGATGAAATGGATATATAAATAGCTTAGTTTCCTAACACTTAATTATCCCTAATTAGAGTAAGCCAGTAAATTATACGAACCGAGTGAACAAGCATACTTTTTAAGTATTTGTCGTACCGCTTATGATTATAAAAGAACAATATTTGTTTAAAACGACACGTGATACGACCGGAGCGAAGGCTTGTCAATATTACAATTCCAACACCAGAACAGGTTCCGAATTCAATAACCTTAAATCTTACTTAACTCATACTTTTATGTCACATCAAATATTTGAAAGTCTCCATCTTTCAGTCGGCTCTGACCTTCGCAATGTTAACTTATGAAACACTAATTTATTTAAACTTGTAGATACTTAATTTGAGTGACGAGGATTATGTGAAATTGCATATATAATTTTTCGGAATTCATGAACTATGATAACGAATTATTAAAATGAAATTTTATACGAACTCTATTTTAAATATTGAAGTTGTTAAACAATAAAGTTACTTTTGTATATGCATTTTGAATTTATAAATTTATATTACAAATTTTATTTCGCAAAACAATTGAAGATGTTAAATGGTTTCGCACAAATGTAATTACAAGTAAGAACTAATTAACTACCGACTAACATTACTTCATGAATTAAAAAAGCTTACATTAACCCTGACCTTCATTTTCTAACTTATAACTCGCCGACAAACGCATTTAGCGATTAAATAATCCGTAAACACCTATTGAAAAATTGGCGTTTAATGTATATTTCCCATAGAAAAAGGGCCGTCCAATCATCATCTCGACATCGCTACATCGTGCACCGTTTCGCAACTGACGCTTGACACACATAATCCTCGTAATCCGCAGCCGTCACTATGTATAAAATGTGCAAATCGTAAGGACATCGAACGACTCAAGACGGTCTAGGAAATATTTATAGCACTAAGACAACGCGAGCGATGCTGCTAGAATTAATGACTTACACTAGGTTACGAATAATAAACTCTAGATAATTAAAAACAAACTATTCGTTAACTTTATCTTCGCTAAAAAACTTTAAACTTACTGTATGGAAAAAAAATTGCTGATATCTGTATTCATTAATTAGATATTCTTTACTCCTATTTTATTATGTGCAAATTTTACATTAAGTTAGTGAACATAAAATTTCAATTAAGTTATCAATCTTTATTTCCGCTCCGAACAACTCTTGAACCTTTCAATCCTACAAGGATTAGTTAATCCTGGAAATTACAAGATTAAATTTGTTTACTTACCTTGTTATGAGGAATAAAATGTACTACGGCGGAGAAAATCACAGAGGCACTGTCGTAATAGCGCGAAGCTGGTTTGGGCGACGTCTTTTATAGCAGTTGTAGCGGGGATGCGCGACGTGAGCGCATGGGGGAAATGCGCCTAGTACTATCCACGTATCTTTAAATTCATTTAACTTGTTAAAGCCCTTAACATTTTTTTTAATTACTATCTTGTAAGTGCGTAGCTTTGTTAATTAAAAAATGTGTCATTAAAGTATATTTTTAAATATATTTTTTTGTAAATTAATTAAAATTTGTGGTCAATTTCTTGTCCAAGGCGAAGGCATGAAAGCCGCAATTTACCGCCAAATATTAAGGTAAGATTAATGAAACTATGAACATTAAATTGTGGAAATAATAATAAAACAAGTTTATATTTCGTATAATTTTAATTTTAACTCCATAACGGAAATTTAGTTCTGAGGGATGTTTTAAACCAATTTAAAACCCTTACATGATAAGATGCCTATTAAACGTCAGTTATTGTTTTTTTTTGCACACTAACAGAAGATTGTTATTTCAATCTAAATTATTTCTTTGTTTAAATACATAGGTATCGTTAAATAGATTATTAGGTCGACAAGGACACGCCCACGTAAAGAAATATATTAAAAACAAGATCTTCGAAGACGCTCCTAAGTAAATACTATTGATGCAATAATATACGGATTTAATATTAAAGTTATTTATGTCCGATAAAAATATAGACTAAATAGATATTCAATTTGAGTAGTAAATGATAACTTTACAATTTAAATCATTAAAATAAATTTTAAAGCTGTTTTGGGTTCTCTTATGGGTTAAGGGTTTGACGAACCTTAAAGCTTTGTACTTTACGTGGTCAAATGCTTATCCTGAAATAGCGAAATTTAGGATGTTACCTAACAACAAGCTTTGGTTCACTTACAGCCTGTTTATAACTGGCATATGGCTAAGTTCAATTCTATGTCAGTAAGAATGTAATTTAGAATCTGTCAAAATAGGTCGTTTCTGGAATCAGCAACGATCGTGCCTAAGTCATTTGAGTGAAATTGCACGTCATTGTAAAAATCCTGCAAAAGCTTTTAGTATAAAAGATATTTGATAGATGTAGAACGAAGTCTAAGTTGTGATGATAAATGCCTCTAATGCGTTCATGCAAAAGCAGTTCATGTGCGGCATTGCCCAACGCTGCGTCACAAGTGACCGCTATAAACACACTGGAATGCTTGCTCCTAGCCACGTTCAGTGGTCAAATTTTGTGCCAATATAACCATCAACTGTAGAAGTAAAAGTCGTCATTGCCGTGTTTGTACTTAATTATCTATGCATCAAAATATTACTTTTAATAATTTAATTGCTAGATATAAGATTTGTTAACGTAGTTTTGTAAATATAAATTTACTTCGATACGATACTGTTTTTTGCATAATTGTTACGATTCAAAAGTTTTTAAAGCCATCAAGTATAAGCTTCGGGAATTAAGATTTCAAAAGACTGAAATCCTTCTTTTCTCTGTTGTTCTCTCTATTACGTTCGTAAGTATTAACACGTCGCATTTTGACGATTGTTGTAAATCATTAGAATGGATTGTACGATTTGTTAGACCATTTTGTACAATTTAAAACAACCTTGTTGTAACAGATAAAGATATAAAAAGCGAATTTTAATATTACGTTGAATTATTCAAAATAAAAATAATAGATAAGTGACCGTATACAATAATAACGCAAGTGTGTCGCATTATGATGACCTCAAGTGGGGCGCGGGTCACATGATGCGTCAGGTAGGGGCGGGCTCATCTCAAGTCACGAGTCCGATACAATTTAATGTATAGACGTTAATGACCCTGTCCTAAATGAACATCTACCAAACTTTACATTAACTAATAGTTTATAATCAATATTCATATGTATTTTGCTGATAAACTATACTAGCTTTCGCTGCTACTCTGTCCGTGCGGAATAAAAAAAAAACTTAATAAAGTAGACCATGTGTTCTTCCAGACTATGTTTATGTTTTACATCTATCGGAATTTTAAAAAAGACTTAATAAGTAGACTATATGTTCTTCCAGACTATGTTCTACACCTATGCTAAATTTCAGCGAGATTCGTTAAATCGTTCCGAAGATACCTTCAAAAACATCCATCAATCTAAACATTCGCATATTAATAAGATTACACTCTTCTATAAGTTGTTAAACATCATGTTTATAAGTTTTTATACGTGTAGACTCGCTAAATTATTTTAATAACTTTATTAGACTTGCACACAAATTGTCAGTGCTCCTATTACATTTTATTAACTTAAACAATAATTAATGTTCAAACTATTTTTAAGAAAGAAAGAGTACGCAAATATATAATATACTAAATACATACATTTTGAAGTTTATGTTATTGGATGAAATAATTACTCCATTGTTTGAATAGTCCTAAGACAATATTTTCTCGCTGCGTTAGTTACGACAGCTGTTTTATTTAATTAAATTGCGTAATTGCGTCTTTACACCAACTTGATAAATTAAGTTGGAATTATCTTATAAATTAGTCGCCTCCGTTACTTTGATAGATTGTTATGGAAAGATTTATTAATCTGTTGCTTTCAACCAATCAATATCTGATCGGATAAATTATTGAAATCAATTTAAGTAAGGAAGCTTTTAATCGATAATAAAATTCCTCCTTTTATGAGCGTTATTATAACTATCAGCATAGTAAAAAGACAACTTTTTAATAAGAACTTTTATAAAACCTATTATGAAACAGGATTAAAATTTTGGAACTATTTTAAATTCTCCATTTATATTTGTCTTTTGTCCCTAAATACAAAGTAGTACTAAATAAATATATTGCAAAAAAAACTTTTTATTCTCGTAGACTGTTCGGGATTGATTTTTATTTTTCTTGAGATTCAGATTCATACACTTTGTTAATTAATGGAAGTAAAATTACCAACGAATTGATTCCTGGGGACCTAAAATACCGTATGTTATATAATCATAGCAATTTCTAGGTACGTAATCTGATGCCGCTATTTGAATATCTTTAGTATGCCCAGTAGCACATAGTTCATGTAATGTCATTGACACCCTGACATCTACAATTGAAGATAAGTGTACGTTGTCAGTTGTCACCTTTGTAGCTGAGATGGTGATGCCTCGTTACCTGTAATTGGATCTCCGGTTTCACGCGCTCATAATCAAAATAAGCAGTTATATATACGCCATGACACTATTTTATACTGCAAAGCTACTTGTGTTGAATAATCTGACACATTGATATTTTATAGTTGTACTGAATTGAAATAGGATTTGATTGGCTACAGAGGTCACAGAAAATTGTATTATTAGTCTTTGTAAAAGAGGGATTTAGATTTGGAAGAGTAGTACATATTGTGGTGGTCTTGAGGGAAAAGGGCATAGAGATTATAATTATGAGTTAATTAAACTAAGAATTATTGGTAAAATTAGAATAAGTGTCTAATAAAATAAATGCAATGTATTATAAAAGAGGCTCTTCGTTAACCCTTAATTTAACGAAATTTTTTGTAGCAAAAAAACTTTTTTTAGTAAAGTCATAATTACGTAATTTTCTCTAAACTAGTTCAGTAGATTTTTTTAATCGCCACACTGGTCACACTCGAATTAAGGGTTAAAATGTATAGACATGTTTTTTGGACGAGGTAAATCGAATAACTATAATAAAGGCAAAATACACTAATTAATAAATAGTAATTTTATCATATACTTTTTATTAGTACAATTATGTCGTTGAGATAAAGAAGGCTAATTATAAAATCTTTATTTATATTAATACTCATTTCCTTATCGAACTTAATTATTATTGAATTTTCGGAAGAGGCTTTAAGTTGAGGAAGAATAAGGGTTCTTAACTTTATATTATTTTAATATTTTTTTATCTTAACCATTTTTTTTCAAGTTCAATCCTATTATTAAATATATATAAAATATAAAAATTATTTCCTAAGCTGTTGGATATTATACCGCGCTAAGAGTTCCAGATAATTTCTAATAATTTAGGTTACCTAAGGTTCATACTTATATCCTGAAAGCGATCGATCGTGTTAGATTACTCATATTTCAACATTTAAAAGTCACTACGTTTATTACTAGAAAAAATATAACTCACGATCCCATTACCCTAATAGGTCTATTAGATACGGTCTTATAACTTTGTTGTTACTACAGTGACAACATTTGAAACTGTTTGAATTCTCGTAAGTACGTCTAACTTTAGAACCACGTTGAGTTTTATCCAACACCAGTTATGCGTGAACAAACATTTGGAGTTATATTTGATTTATAATGAATGAAAATCAATCGTTCTATATCCGACCGTTGTATGACCGCATTTATGATTTCTAGCTAGAACAGGGCTCTAGCTAGAAATCATAAAATGCTTAGTAATATATCTTTATATAGGTACTCTACCAACGTGCTTACATTGATATGTTTATAGTAATAACGTTGCATAATCTTAGTCCGCGGTAAAAACAATTCAAAAAACCTTGGTTCTTCAAGTCAAAGGTTGGCGATTGCACTTAGTTCCGCAGCGACAGATTCAATGTTCGATATTTTTTATTGCATTCGTCCGACGCGTCGCTGCGGTCGCACGAGGTTAGTGATGCCTTGTGCATTTAATTAATTTACAACTTGTGTCTAATGTTGACCTCGGACGTTTTTTGGGCTTTAGAAGATACCAACTGCGAAAATCATCATCATCAGCTCACTATACGTCCCCACCGAGGGGTTCGGAGCCTACCCTAAGTTAAGGGTGATTAGGCCATAGTCAACCACGCTGGCCAAGTGCGGGTTGGTTTACTTCACACATATCTTTGAATTTCTTCTCAGATATGTGCAGGTTGCATCACGATGTTTTCCTTCACCATAAGAACGTCGGATAAATGTACTTATGGAAATCGGAAATCGAAAAACACATTGGTACATGGCGGGATTCGAACCCAGGACGTGCAGATTGCAAGTCAAGTGCTTGACCACTGAGCCACCGGCGAAAATCTGTTGGACTAATAAAGAATTTA